ATTGTGAAAATAAATTAATTTATTATCCAATTGCTAAAACTCATTTTTGATTTTTAATGAATCATAGTCCAATCACCTAATATTCTAAACATACTTTTTTTTTTTTTTTTTTTTGCGACGGTTTTTTGTTTTGTTGCCCAGACTAGAGTGGCGTGGCATCAGCCTAGCTCACAGCAACCTCAAACTCCTGGGCTCAAGCAATCCTCCTGCCTCAGCCTCCCAAGTAGCTGGGACTACAGGCATGCACCACCATGCCCGGCTAATTTTTTCTATATATACATATTTTTGGTTGTCCAGATCATTTCTTTCTATTTTTTAGTGGAGATGGGGTCTCGCTCTTGCTCAGGCTGGTCTCGAACTCCTGACCTTGAGGGATCCACCCGTCTCAGCCTCCCAGAGTACTGGGATTACAGGTGTGAGCCACCGCGCCCGGTCTCTAAATATACTTTTAATATATTATTTCTAGTGCCTCATTTTTGTTTGTTTACTGAATTGCCAATATCTCAGTACCTCTACCAGTGGTTTTCATGGACCTGTGGGCAAATGAGAGACCTATTTAATGAGCCCTGGGAAATCGAAACTATGTTCATAATAATGAAAAATATTATTTGCCTTTGTTCACTGTGTTGACAATTACACGAGAAGTGCAAAAGAGTGGTGAGTAAAACTGCTGGTGCTTTAGCACAACAAGTAGCTCTGAAGTATTTGAGTAGTAATTGTACTCTTCACTGCCAGGTAGTCATAGTTAAAATAAAATGTCAGGTTCACTAAAAATGTAAAGGAATTTCCTTGAGGAAACAGAAAAATTATTAATTTTATTAAGTCTAGACTTAAATTTTGACTTTTTTCAATATTCTAGGTGACAAAGAGCAAAATGTGTACAAGGAACCATTACTCTTTCCTCAGTATTATGATTGTCTCAAAGAAATGTACTTGTGTGACTGAGTTGCAAGCTGAACTAGCCACTTTATTTGTGGAGTATAATTTTTATTTGAAAGAACAACTGACAGAAACTGGGTTCTTTTAGATTTGCGTTTGCAAAAACCTTTTTTAGGGGAGGATAATGCATAAATGAAGAATGATAATTCTAGGAAAACAATTAACAATATGTTACTACTGATAAAATTTGAGCTTTCAAGCAAAAACTCAAATTTAGAAAACTTCATCACCATGAGGTTGAGTCAATATATTTAATGACTTTTCTGATGAGTTTCTTATCACTTATACTAATATTTTCCAAATGATCAATGTCTGATATTTCCAATTTATGAACAGGTAAAAGACTCATTCAGAATGCAAGATAGATCAATGCATTTTTATGTAACAGTGTATGAAAAGTTCACTATTGCGGTTTCATATTCCACCTTGCAAGTAAGTTTTAAGAAACTGCCACTTGTGGACTTCTAGTGTAGTACCAAAAAAAAAAGAAAGAAAAGAAAGAAAGAAAAAAGGCAACAATCATCTAAAAAGGATATCAAATTGAGGTACTTCTCCATTATCCAACTGAATATATCTGTGTTAGGATGGATTCTTTTCAGATATTTTAACAACGACAAAAAAAAACATTGCAACAGACTGAAAAAGATTTGAGAATCCAGCTGCATTCTGTTAAGCCAGACTTAAAGAGATTTGTAAAAATGTAAAATAATGTCACTCTTTTCAACTCTTTTTAGTTTGGAAAATAAAGTTGTAAGAATAAAATGGAAATGTTGTATGTTTGGTGTAGTTTTTAAATTTTCTCAGGTTTAACGTTCAAAATGGTAAATATCAATATATAAGAAACAGCTACACAAAAGCGCCTGGGGGTCCTTGACAATTTTTAACAGCATAAAGGGGTCTCAATACCAGCAAATTTGAGAACTGTGGCCTGGTGACAACCTGGATGCATACATGTCGCTTCCTTATATTTGAACCCTAAGCTCCGTATCAGCCCACCCACCTAAGTTCTTCTTTCCTTTTTAAGTTTTCTGACAATTCTCAGCTCATTTGTAGAGCAGAGATAATTAGTATGTTGTATCCTGAGTTCAATTAATGAGCAGGACCAGATTTACCAACTCCCTCCATTTCCCCAGGTTTTCTCTGTTAATTTATTCCTGAGGCACAAAAACATATATTCTGATCTTATCTCTTCTACCGTCTCCTTCAGCAAACATGCACGGAGCACCTACTATATATCAGGTAATATACTAGGCTCTGAAACGACAAAGATCAATAAAACAAAGCCCGTGATAAGGTCCAACCAAGTCCCTAAGTTGCATGTTTCTATATAACACATATTCAAAGAGAAACACTTATTGAAATACTACATCTCTATTTTTTTGTTGAACCTAGAATAATGGTACAAACTTTATATGAGCTATACAAGACTGTGTGAACCCTTGTGAGAATACAAAGTAGATTAAAAGGAGAGTAAATCTTATGTCCATAATTCAAAAGCCAACCTTCAAAGACATTCCTATTCATGCCAAATCATTAGATATGAATGAAGGTGTACAACTGGACAATCTCTGGAATGAGCACTATCAGGGTCAGAGACCTCAACTCACCACCCCAAGTGTCAGAACTAGAAAAAGAATGCAGATGGAATTGTTTCTCTTTTACCCGCTGACCTTCTGCTTGCTCATGGAATGTGATCAGCCATGACTGGCCAGAAACCTGAGTAAGCAACACAGACACTTATCAGTGTACACGAATAAATTTTTAAAAGTGCATCGGACAAAGTCTGCACTTGGAAACAATAAAAAATCACCTCTGATAACCAGAGGAAACTTACAACTTCTTTTTGCAGAACTGCAGTAAATTGATTGTTTGAACAGAAGGAAAAGAGGACTTTATTGTATATACTTGAAAGATACAACCAATAATAATATGAAATTCTAGCTCTCAACTACTGCTTTCAATATTCTTTGGAGAAACACATTTGCTTTTAATTTTAGGAGTGGTTGGAGCTTGGGAACTCAAACTCGGTTTAAAATTTCAGCACTGAGTTCACAGAAGATATCCTGACAAACATTTTTTTTAATTAAAAAAATCATCATATTGAATTCTCCCTGGATTTTTAAAGGAATAGAGTACAGTAAATATAAATGATAACTTTTCATATTGGTGCTACTGAGTTATAAAAAGGTAATGGGCATATCACCTGCATTACTAACAAAGTTATTGCTAATTATTATTTTTTAATTCTCATGCCTATTGCAGAAGTAGTACTATATATGCTAAGCCAATCTTTGCATATCTAATGAGTAAATAAGATATAATAAATCTTCTAATTATAACAATGAACATTTATTCTCATTCTCCACAGTATTCCAGTAAAATCTAGAGCACTGAACCAAAGAACAACACCTAATAACCAAATTTGTTTTAATGTTTACCAAATTCATCTAAAGTCTGGAGTGACTTAATTGCCTTCCTTCAATAAATATTGTAGTTCTCAAACTAATAAAATCTCTTTATCCAAGAAATAATTCCAAAGAAGGCAGGTAGAGACAGTGGGTGGGTTTACAAGGGGGATAACTCCAAATCAAAATAAAATTACATATAAATCATGGCCTGAGTTACACCAAATAGCTCAACATATCAGATCTACATTAAAATATTTTTTAAAAATAGTAGGCAAAAGAGGATATTTGACCTAGAAATCCTTTCAGGGCTATGTATGTAAGATAAAACTGAATTCCACTTAGAATTATATCTCTAAGAATTTATCTCTATTAAGAATTATATCTCAAATTATATCTCTAATGTCCTCTAAGCCATGAATATGCTGCTTCATTCATAGAATGAACACAGCCAGCTATTATGAAAAAATAACCACAGAGAATACAAAAGGATATTAATAATAAATAGTATTTTAAATGAACAAAATCTCCACCTCACCAAAAAAGAAAGCAAGAAAACAAACACACAAGCCTCAATTTCACTAGCATTTTTTATCTGGGTCACTGCCAAGTATCACAAACCACATTTGATATTTTGTGTTTTTGGCTGATTGACACTAGAATGTCTTTGAGGGAAGTGGGGAGGGAAAGAATGAACTTAGAAAACAGCAAACAAGACTTTTCCACAGTATAGCTATATCATTTCTAGTTGATTATCAAAACAACATTGGACGTAATTCAATTAAAAACAAATCAATGATACATGGAGGTAGCAGCCTAAAACATACCCCAGGGAAGGCTAAGCTTGGAATTCTTTTGACTTCTGCTATGAAACACTAATTTCTTATGCACCAGCAGACAGAACAACATGTACCTATACCATGGCATTGAACAACCCAGTTTTGTCTGAAGAAACAGTTCATTTTGTCTGATCATTCAAGCACATTGCATGCATTAGTGTAGGAGGGAAAAGAAAGGATTACCCTAAATCAGAAGATAGTGTCTAAAATGTGAGGGCAAATGAAATCAGGAATCTCCCAAAACTTGGCTGAGCACATTAAAATTAGTCACTGTCTATAAAGAAACTGCCAAGACTGCTGAGGATGTGAAAGTTAATACTGCCCTGGTGTAAACTGTCAGCCTGGCCTCCATCGCCACTCCCCCTAAAAAGCTATGGTATAATGCCGATTTCCTCCAAAGCTCTTCATTTTGGAATAAGGATTCCTAATTCTAAAAGTGCCCGTCTTCCAGTAGACTTCGTTACCGGGAGGAGGGGTGTTTAAGTTAGTTCAATGATTTAGCTTAGACGAATGGATTTTTTTCCTACTCTGGAATGGCTAAAGGTTACTTACTAGCCTTACACATTTGATTGCTATGAGGTAAAATGTAAAGTGAAAAAAAAAAAAAGTCTATTAATTATTTAGCTTCAACCATGATTAAAACTAAATTTACATCATCCTTTGTTAGTCTTTGTGACAGAACATTTTCATATCTTCCTGTTTGTAAAATTAATAATAAACAATAAAGGTAAATACTAATAATTATAGAAAGTGACTATAAAGAGAAAGATCTTTCTAAGAAGCATCAACAAATAATAAATGACTACAAAACCATTACCTCTGCTTTCTGTGTTCTGGGAAAAGCAGTTGATTTTTCTATGGCATAAACATCCACCAGGTAAAGACATGCTCCTTGCTCCCGATCCAGAATGGCTGCAGTCTGAATTATGCCAGTGTGTCGTCCAATGGTAAAGAGGCGGCCAACGGTTTTTTCTTCACAGCGAACTGAAACAATATAATACTCCACCGGGGCTTCAGACCCTCTGGGGCTAGCTGCTTCTATTGATATTACATTGGTGCCAATGGGTTCCCCTTCCTTCAAAATAGTTATATATTTGGGTTGAGTAAAAACAGGTCCATCAAGGCCCTGAAGAATGACTGTCAATTCAGTGGTCGATTTCCTCCTTTCAGGGCCAAGGTCTGTGGCTGAAACTATAAGGTTGTAGATCAACTGTGAAGGCACCAGTGCTGAAGCTACTCTCAAGTCTCCACTGTAACGATCCACAATGAAGGTGTCTGTGTCCCCATTGATGATCTCATACTCCACCTCTCCATTAGCACCTTCATCTGGGTCAGCAGCCATAATCGTTGTCAGAACAGAACCAATCACAGCTGAAGGGTCTGCAGCAAGAGCGTTTTGTGATATAAACATTGGGACATTGTCATTGAGGTCTGTAACCAAAATGGTCACATTTTTCAAAGCATACCGTCTAGTTTCTATGGGCACAGCTTGATCATTGGCTTTTACAGTTAACTCAAAGAGATTAGCAAATTCCCGATCTATTTCAGCATTAGTATATATAGTCCCTTTGACTTCATCTATGCCAAAGTGGTTGCCTCTTGGCATCTGTTGAATGATCGCATAGGACAGTTGCCCATTAATATCTGCATCAGGGTCGTGTGCAGTCACCGAAACGACAGATGTACCAATGGGAATGTTCTCAACGATAGACTTGAAAATATCTCCAGGAGGAAAGCTAGGAGGATTGTCATTAAAGTCCCTCACGTGAATAACCACTGACATTGTAGATGAACGAGGAGGCCTTCCTTGGTCTTTTGCTGTTATATTTAGTTTATACAAAGACTGTGTTTCAAAGTCCAATTTTTTGGCAAGAAAAATACTCCCAGTGTTTGGGCTAATGCTAAAAGTCCCATGGTTGTTAGTCCCAGTAATACTGTAATGTAAATCAGCATTGTCGCCTGAATCAGAATCAGTTGCAGTAACAGAGGACACGAGTTCACCAATTCTCATGTTTTCCAAAACATCAACAAAGAGTGTTGATTTAGGGAAAGAAGGGGTATTATCATTTTCATCTAAAATGTCAATATTTAAGGTACAAGTTGAATTGAGGGAAACTGTCCCTGAATCCACTGCTTGAATTACAAGGGAATAGGCAGGTGTTGCTTCATAGTCTAATTTGCCAATTAGTGCTACCTGACCAGAGGAACTGTCTATAGCAAACTGTCTTTCTTCATTTCCTTTTATTATAGAATAATGAATAAGTCCATTATTACCTTCATCAACATCTGAGGCAGATACTCTTAACACTTGTGTCAGGTTGGCTGCTGATTCTGATATTGTAGCTTGGTAAAAGTCTTTTAAAAATCTGGGAGCATTATCATTTATATCCTTCATGTAAACATGTACAGTGGCCTGATCCTTGAGAGGCTGAGGGAGCCCCTGATCTGTTGCTATGACTGTAAAGCTAAACACTGCAGTTCCTCTCCGCCTCATAAGAGACTCCCTGTCAAACTGATGAGTATTTGTAATTTCCCCAGTGATAGCATGCAACTCAAAATCTGGCTGCACCATTTCAAAAGAATACCTTACTTCTCCATTTGGCCCAAAGTCTTTATCTACAGCACTTACTTTGCCCACAAATGACCCAGCTTTCTGCTCCTCTTCAAAGTAAAATGTGTAATTGGTGCTGTTAAAAAGAGGTCTGTTATCATTTACATCTTCTAAAATTACAGTAACATTCACAGTAGCACTAAGGGGTTCCACTGCTCTGTCAAAAGCAACAACCAATAAAACATATCTGTCTTGAAGTTCACGGTCCAGTTCACTTTTTATATACAATTGACCATCTGGGAATATGCCAAAAGCATCCCCTGTATTTCCTTCAGCAATGGTGTAGGCAATTTCACCATTTGCTCCTGAATCCTTATCAGAAGCTTGTACTTTAAAGAATCGAGAATTCACAGGTTCTGACTCAGAAATGGTGACCTCATAAGAAAGTTGGTCAAACACTGGTGAATTGTCATTTACATCATGGACATAAACTGTTAAGATAACACTAGAGGAGAGCTGTGGAACACCCATATCAGATGCCAAGATCTCTATTTGGTAGGAGCCAGCATGAACATCCAACGGTCCTAACAAACTAATGTTACCATTCTTTTCATTGATAGCAAACAAGTTCTTGGGATTTTGCTTCAGACTATAGAGTACCATGCCATTGACACCCTCGTCAGGGTCCACCGCTTTGGCTTGGAAAATGCTATGACCTGCCTGCCAATTCTCTACCACATTTACACTCTCTACTGCTTGAAGGAAATGGGGAGAGTTGTCATTCAAATCCTTAACTGTTATATTAACCACAGTATCTCCAGTCACTGTGCCCCCACTGGCCACCACTTTCAGCTGATAAAAGGATTGCTCTTCTCTGTCAATCACACTTGCTGTGGTAAGCTGCCCAGTGACCTGGTTGATAGCAAACATACCTTTCTGATCCCCAGTAGTAATGAGATAACTGATGTTGGAATTGAGATCCATGGTGGATGCAGACACACTACCCACATGATATCCCAGAGCCACATTCTCAAAAACCACGAAGCTGTAGGCAGCCTGGCTGAATACAGGTGGGTTGTCTTGAGTGTCCAGAACAGTGATGGTTACTATTGCCTGGTTGGGAGATTGCAAATTGCCACCATCAGTAGCCACTATTTGCAACTGGTAAGCTGTTTTTTCTTCTCTGTCTAGGGCCATTCTTGTAGAAATAACCCCACTCTGAGCATTGACCTGAAACCGAGACCTGTCCCCAGCTGATATACTATATTTGACAGTTCCATTGGGACCCAAGTCTGGGTCAGTGGCAGACACTGTGGTGATATAGCTACCTCCAGGCTCATTCTCCTGAATATGAGCAAAATATTGGACAGGGTAGAACACAGGGCTGTTGTCATTGATATCCATAAGACTCACATTTACGCGAGCCATTGATGACTGAGGAGGGGAGCCCAGATCTGTGGCTAGAACCAACAGGGAGTAGAAGGCTTGCTCCTCTCTGTCCAAGGAGGAAATAGTACTCAACCTCCCGGACACAGGATCCAGACGGAAGGACCTCTGGTCCGTCTCAGCCTCTTGTAGGGAGAAGCGCACTGTTCCATTATCACCCAGGTCCCCGTCAGTCGCCCTGAGTATCAGTAGTTCTGTCCCCGTTGGGGCATTCTCAACCACAGACACATTATACCCTTCTGGTTGGCTAAATACTGGCTTCTCATCATTCACATCTAGGAGAGTTACCACAAGCTGGGCGTAGGAAACCTTAGGGTGAACTCCCTGGTCCCGGGCACTTATATTCAGTACAATCTGGGAAGCAAGTTCACGGTTCAAGCCCCCAGCAGCCCCAGTGGTCACCAGGCCGCTATGTTCGCTGATATGGAACCATCCTAGTCCATTGCCAGAGACGATGCTGTAACGCAGATTAGCATTGAGACCAGAGTCGCCATCGGTGGCAGATACCCCACTCACATAGCTTCCTGGAGGCGCCTCCTCGCTCAGGTTCACTCTGTACACTTGCTGTGCAAAGACAGGAGGATGGTCATTGATGTCATTGACGAAAATCACCAGGCTTGCCACAGAAGAGCGCGCCTGGACCGCTGCGGCAGGGGGCGCCCCGTAGTTATCAGAGACGGAAACTGTGAGGTTGTAGGAAGGGATGCGTTCTCGATCCAAGGCGCTGGCCACTTTGATTAGGCTCAGGTTCGGCACTTTGCTGCTTTGCACTTCAAAGTGTCGCTGCTCATTGCCCCCTAGGATCTGCACCGAGATGTTCCCGTTGGCCGAGGGGGAATCTGCGTCAGTGACGGTGAGCAGAGCCACCACAGTGCCCACTTGTGCGTTTTCATCTACCGAGGCGTAGCGCGAGGTGGCAGGGAAGTAGCGGAACTTCACCACGGGGTCATTGTCGTTCACATCCAGCAGCTGAATCAGCGCCTCGGCGCGCCCAGTGAGGGAAGGTACGCCTCGGTCCATCGCCTGCACCGTAAGCGAGTACTGGCGGCGGGCTTCGAAGTCCAGGGGCTCCCGCACCGTGATCAGTCCCGTTTCCGGGTCCATTTGGAAGGGGGTCCCTTCGTCCTGCAGCCGATAGCGGATGTCCGCGTTGGTGCCCTCGTCTGCGTCCGCCGCCGCCACCTGGAGGACGCTGGAGCCCACGACCGCGTCCTCAGGCACCCCCGCCTGGTAGTGGGAACTGCCAAAAACCGGGGGGTTGTCATTAATGTCTTGCACAGTCACATTGACCTGAAGGTAGCCCCGCCGCTTCGGCTCACCCTTGTCCTCCACCTCGACCAAGAGCTGGTACTGCGGCGTGACCTCGCGGTCCAGCCCGCCCTTGGACACCAGATGCAGGAACGCGCCCTCTCCGCTCGGGTTCAGGGTGATGTCCAGGCGGAAGCGGCCCGCCTCGTTGCCCCGGATGATGCGGTAGGAGCGGTGGTCAACGCCGTTCGAACCGATGTCCGAGTCGGTGGCGGTGTCCAAAATGACTTGGCGCCCGCTGCTACTGTCCTCCTTGAAAGTGACCACGATCGAGGGGTCTGGGAAAACCGGGGCGTTGTCATTGAGGTCCCGCACCAGCACTCGCACTTCAGTGGGGTAGGTGGGCGCGCTGGAAAGGACCACCAGGTTGATCACGTCGCTGGGCAGGCTCTCGCGGTCGATGGTGGCGGTGGTGTACAGGACTCCGGTGCTACTGTTTATGGCAAACAGGGCGTGGCTTTCGCTGAGCCGGTAGGTGAAGCCAGGGCGCGTCTGGATGGTGCCCACCAGAGTGCCTGGAGGTTGCTCTTCCAGCACTTGGAACACCTGGCGCTGCTCGGCTCCGCGGACCCAGGCCGGCCCCGGGAGCAATGACAGCAGCCAGAACACTCGAAGGAGCTGAGATACCGATCGAGTGTGCAGCGGGAGCCACGGACGGCCAGGAGCACTGTCTGCTGCTAAGTCCATGGTCCTGGCTCCCTGGAACGGTGTGAGGAGAAGGAGGGGGGAGGGAGCAGACGGAACGATATTTACAGGGATCAAGTAGCGCCAGCAAAGATGCAGCCAATGGCTCGGTCTGAGACCTCTGCTATTTCAAAGAACCTCCAGTCCAGCAAAAGCAAGTTGTATCAGCAAAAGGATTCAGGTAGCCGGCTGGACGCGTAGTGCAAGAGAGATGCCGTGGAGAAAAGAGGCAGGGCATTCCGCGGGACACTTGTGAGTTGAGTTCCCAGAAAAGTTTCTCAAACCTCTTATAGTTCCCCACCCCCTTTACTTTGTTTTTGAATCCAGAGAGTCTCGGCGTTCTCGCCTGGGTGGGTGAGAGTTGGAAGAGGTGGCCTGCATTTAAGGTATGTGAGGAATCATTGCAAATAATCGTCTTCAGAAACTTTAGAACTTACCCACAGCAGAGAAACCGAAGGGGGAAGAACAAACGCCCGTAGCGACGGAAGGCACAACTGCGCGCTGGAGGGAGAGCGGTGGGGAACCGGGAGGATAGAGCTCCTTTCCCAAACGCTGGAGACGAGGGATTTCCTCGAGTCCCCACTCCTCAGAAACAAGACTGCAACGCCCCTCCAAACAGGGCTCCAGCGGTGGCCGCTGAGGCCCAGGCGGCGGCGTCTGCGCGCGGGCAGCCGGGGAGTTGCGTTCCAAGCGCTCCGCTTCGCGCGCTGGCTCCGGAACCTGGGAGCGCTCAGCTCTGTCCCTTCCCCTCCAGCAGCCGCCGCCGCCGCCGCCGCCCCTGCTGCGGCTTCAAGCCCGTGGTCCGGCACAGGCTACAGCCGACGCTCCTCGGCATTTTTCACCTCTGCCAGGGCGCCTGCCGACCCATTATTTGTACATCCAAATCGAGCTCGGGTCCCGCCTTCTTCTCGGCCTCGCAGGGGTCGGGCAGAAGCAGTGCGCGGTCCCCGAGTCCCCTCCCCTCACCATGCCAAGGGGATCGTTCTCTGGCGGCCGCAGTCGGAAGCCCACTCTAGTGCGCCTTGCCCCTGCCCTGGTTAGCTTTGTTTTTATTGTCCCGTGTCAGTTTCACTTTGTAATCCACAAGGCTTTTTGTTTGGGGCGGGGGGTGCCTGGTCCCTCTTTCTCCTTCACCATAGGCGGCGGAGGCAGGGAAGTCGGCGCTGGGCTGTGGTGGCGCCCTCCGCAGCTCCGGACGGCGCCTGTCAGCGCTCTCCTCGTCGCCTGCCGGGGCTGAAGGTTGTAGGGCTGTGGAGCGAGAGCTCAGCGAGCCCCTCTCAACCTCCGCCCGGTCCCTCACAGTCTCCCCGCCCCTCGGCCGCTGCACACACACGCACACGCGCGCACACACACGCACACACACACACACGCGCGCACACGCACACAGCGCGTCGTCGAAACACAGAGGGGGAGGGAAGAGCGCGAGCTGGAGCCGGACTCAGAAACTTTGCTCGCCACTCATTGATCCCCACGCTTTAGTTCGCCCGACTCCCCCTAGCTCCCGGTCCTGTCACCTACCGCCCCGCCCTCGCCTCAGCCCCATTGGGCCGGCGCTGGGGCAGCCCCGCCCGGCACGCCCGCCGCGAGCGCCCTCCGCCGTTCCCGGCCTCCGACTGGCTCCTCGGGATGCTAATCACTCCAGCCTCCCGGAGGGCTGTAGGCGGTCTGGTGTGGGAGCCCGGCGAGGCGGAGGCGCTAAGAAGGAGGGGTGATTCCCACCCTCTTTTTTTTTCCTTTTTGGTCAAATCTTGGCCAGCGTTAGAGCAATAACAGCAAAAGGCGGCCGCAGAATCGATGGGGGTGGGGTCAGGTTTGTAGATAAATAACCTTAGTGGCGGAGTCTGGGGGGAGACCGTTAGGTTGTTATGCTAGTAATAACTCAGGGGTAAGGGGGTCGAGAGAAATAAAAGAAAGGCGGGGGGTGAGGGTCTGTTAAAGCGGGGAGGAAGGATTAAGCAAAGCCTGTCTGGGAATGCACAGCGCAGATTTACTTTAACCGTTTCCTGCCCCTTCTCTTTCTGAGCGAGATCTGCTGTACAATGTGATCCGACAGAATCCAAACCAAATCTTCCCCCTTCCTCCTCTGTCTACACAGCGGGCTCCCTGCAGTCTAGTACAACCTAAACCCTAAACCTGCACCCTCTTGCCCCTCTCCCCCATCTTCCAGGTGACTAGGGGCACGGAGGCCTGGGTACCAAGCGCCCTTTGGACATCCTATAGGAAAAGCCAGGGGGACTCAGTGTTTGTTATATTTTGTTTTCCTTCCCAACTGGATTCCAGGTGTCAGTAGCCCAAACCTTAGGGTTTCAACAACAATAACAATGGCAGCCCTTTGAAAAGAGGGAGATCTTTTCCTGTTGGGAAGTTAGTTTGGAATTTTGTTGCCTGGTGAAATATTTCCCTCTCGATATCTTGTAGCCAAAGGAATCCTAATAAAGTTTTGTTTTGTTTTTTGGTCTGGGGGAAGAATAGATATGATAAAATAGAAGTTGATAAATTTAAACAATTTTTTTAAAAAAACATGCCCACATGTGACATTCTGCACTCAGATTAACTTTCGTAAGTATTCACTCTGGCTAATTTTTGTGGTGGCATGCATCGCTTCTTTAAAGAAGAAAAAAGTGACTAGGAATCAGGTCAGTACGTTTTCCCTTTAAGGGAACCAACTTAGATAATATGAATTTAAGCCAAACAATGCAAATATAGGGCATATGTCATACATTTCTGCCACAGGGACCCCTCCAAACTTAAAACTTTCTGTGCCCAGGGAGGATTCAGGCATGAGTAAATATTGCCCTCTGCTGTTCTATGTCAGTCTTACATCTTTAGTTGCCTGGTTTCTTGCTTAAAATTAAATGCAGAAACTAAGAGGATATGGTTACAAGGCTAATTCCTCCACCTTGCCTAGGGATAGTGGCAAAGAAAAAGATCTTTAAGAATCTCCTCGTGCCTTTCTTTATTTAGGGTAGGAAAAAAAATCAAGAGTAATAGGGCAAATCTTGCTGATGCAGACAGCCTGTAACCCAAAACTTATATGTGGAAACCTGAATTCTAAAACCACCACCAATTCCTTTAGAACAGTCACTTTTGCATATTACTCTACTGTAATACAATGAGTGAATTGGAACCAGACAAAAAAGTCAAATTTAACCATTTCTGTATTTTTAAGACTTGAAAACTATTGAAAGCATTAGACTCCAGTCTTCTTTAAAAGAGATATTTTAAAGCCTTTAAAAAAAATCATATCTGCCAACAAGTTACAATCTTAATACCATTATTTTTGGTGTAATTTAGCAAAGAAAGATTTGTAGATTACAGTGGAGCCAAAATTTTTACAAACCAGTGCAATGATGTGTGATTTTAAGAGAATATTACTGTTTTGTTTTGTTTTCTTTTGTTTGCTAATGCAGCAGTGCGCAACATTTTTGGTACCAGGGACCTATTTCATGGAAGACAATTTTTCCACTGACAGGCTCCTGGGGGCTGAGGCTGGGGGAGTTGGGGGCGGGGCAGAGCTCTGCGGACAGGGGTTGGGGACTGGGGCTAATGCACTATAATGTATCACTCGGATGGGAAGAAATATAAGGAAATCATTCAGATACTTGTAGGAGATCATGGACTTTTGTTGGTTTGCTTGTTTGTTTAGAAAGCCTATGGGATAATCTTCAGATTTAGTCTCAGTAGTAAGTTTGCATTATTTATGAGTGAATTTGATTTGGGGAAACAGGTGAAAATCATTCATTCTGTGAAATGGGGAGTGTTCAATCTGTGTGATATGGATATATTTTTAATTTAAAAATAAGAAAT